ACTCTTTCCTGCCCAGGGTGAGGGGTCAGAATCAATGACCATCTGAGGTCCCTTCTGACCCTAACATTTATGAACCTATGAATCAGTCTAGATCCTGGACACCAATTCTTGACTGCAGTGGGACTTAAATACCTGTCCAATGTGACTCTGGCTATGGACAGACATTATACATAAACTGGTTTAAGTGATCAGAAACTGGTTTAAACCTGTAACAGAACAAATGTTCAATGCACATAAACCAGTTTGAAAATGGCTGAAACTGGTTGAGATAAACCTGGCTGAATGTAGTATCAGACATAACTGATCTGGGCTGTGCTCTCTGCTTCAGCCCAGCAGGGCTGGCTCTGCCCCTGTGCTCTCTGGCTGGAGCTCTGGCAGAGACTGCAGGTACAGCGAGGTCTGCCTGACTTCCTCCTGCTCCCCTTCCTCCTCCTCACCCCTCCCTACTCAAGCAGGGATTCCACCCTCTCCTCTGCCCTACCTAGATACTACTTAGCATTAGCTAGCATACCACATGCTGGCTACAGTCCGTGCTGTGGAAGACAGGACAAAGGCAGACAGAATAGTGTCGGCTTAGGCTTTTTGAAGCCAAATCAACAGGTAGCTGGTAATGTCCCACCGTTCCTTCTTTGAAAAATGTTGTTTTCAGAAGAGCTTGAACTAATGAGAGAGACTTTTGCTTTGTTTGATGGGCTGATAAATGCTAACAACTCCCTGTGTAACTTTCTTCTGTGAAATTAAATGTAACAGTTATCAGCTCCCTGCTGGCTCCCTTGCTGGGAGTGGGGGGGAAAAATCCCTCCCTAACCAGAGCATCCTGCCAAGGCCTGGCCATGCCCCCCCCCCCCCACCTCTGCAAAAAGAAAGGAAGGGGAGCTCAGCACAATAGAAGGGAAGGGAGGGCTGCTTTATTGCCCCTCAGCTTCTAGCCTGAGCCATGGCAGGCATGAAGTTCTAGTTTGTCTGCCAGGATATACATCTCAATCAGTTGTTTTCTCCACAATGTTCTTCCATCCTAATTCACAGAAGTGGGAAATAGATTAGTATTTTACAGAGAATGATTTCTTCAATCTTGAACTTTGATTAGTTCCTCTTGATTAGCCACCAGTCATGCCAAGCATATGTTTGCGTCTGTCTGACCACTGTCATAGACAATCGCTATAGTTTAATGTCAATATGGTATAATTCAAACACCTCTTATACTGATTCCAGCATAAAGCAAAGAAAGCAATTTATCCTGGAAGTCTGAAGAAGATGCTATCATTTGTTGGATACAGGATTAAAAAGTTCACCCTTCCTTCTCACCAAAGTGTTGAACTGATTTTTCATAGGAATGAAGTAATCCAGAATTTGTAGAATTCTGCAAAAGCTTTTATATAATGATATGCTTCACTATTTTTTTAACTGATGTTCTTTGTCCTCAGCACACTATGGGATTATGGAAAAGATATGATCTTCCCTTCAATTTCTGTTATGAATTCTTTCTCTGTCAGTCCCCCATGCTACATCACCTTGCTATTACTCTTCTTTTTCCCTTTCCAACTCTCTTTTATCTTCCTTTCCATTACTCCCTTTTAACTCATCTTTTTCATGCCTTTAAAATCCCATTTAAGTTGCCAGCAGATCAGGGGAAGTAATTATTCCACTCTATTCTGCACTGATGAGGCCACATCTGGAATACTGTGCCCACTTTTGGGCCATCTACTATAAAAAAGATGTGGACTAGTTGGAGAGAATCCAGAGGCAGGCAATGAAAATGGTTAGGGGGCTGGTGCACATGACTTCTGAGGAGAGGATGAGAGAACTGGGCTTATTTTGTCTGCAGAAGAAAAGACTGAGGGGGGGAATTGAAAGAAGCCTAAAAGGTGGTTCCAAAGGGGATAGAGCTAGACTGTTCTCAGTGGTGGCAGATGATAGAACAAGGAGCAATGGTCTCAATTTGTAAAATCTCAAGGAAGTTTAGGTTGGATATTAGGAAAAAACTCTCTCACTAGGACAGTGATTAAGCACTGGAATGGGTTACCTAGAGAAGTAGTAGAATCTCCATTCTTGGAGGTTTTTTAAGGCCTGGCTCGACAAAGCACTGGCTAGAATGATCTACTTGGGTAAGGACCTTCTTTGAGCAGGGGATTGGTTTAGATGACATCCTGAAGTCCTGTCCAATCCTAATTTTCTATGATTCTGTGATTTTCTGTGTTACCTAGTTTAAGTCTTTGAATTAGAGCTGACAATTGTCTTTCATCTTATAGACAGAAGAGTGTACAAGAATAGGCAGGCAGACTCACATCCCAGTGTATTACTCTATGGATTAACTTACTGTTTCATAATCATACCACACTGCATCAGGAATATATGCAGTCACTTTTTCTATGCCCTGAAATAAGAACAAAGATGTAATTTTCACATCACAAGTCAAAAGAATCAAATAGGAACTAAATTAAAGTTTTCAAAGTGACAAATCCAGGGCTGAGGAGAGACTATCACTTTTTTTCTCTGGAATAATTCTGACCAAAATGCTGGACTTTTCATAAAATTATGGAAACTGGAGATGAAAAAGACATACTTGTCCAGCCACATGCAACAAAGATTTATTCCATATACTGTTACTGAACTATTGGACCTCATTGAAAATATGTGGCAAAATGAGACTTCTATCACTGCCCTTGGGAAACTATTAAATAACTGAGTCATTGTCACTGTGAGATTTTTTCCCTTTGTTCTCCCGTTGTTTGATTCCTTTTCTCCTGTTCAAATCCCCTTGAACCATACTAAATAATTCTTACTTATATTGGCAGCTTCAGATGTTTGGAAGCTGCCTCCTCTCAGACATTCTCTAGCCAAGTTAAAGAACATATAATAATAAATCATTCTTTCTAGCTCCTAATCAATATTGTTACATTTCTCTGAACCCCACCATTTTCTAAACCTGTTCTGATATGATGTCCAAAAATTAATACAATAATCCAAGTACAGCTTCACTAATATCACAAAGGGATCATTATATCTCAGTACATAAGTCTATTTCGAGATTACATCACATTGCAAATTTATTTCTTATTTTATAGCCACAATTACTCAAAGTTTCCTTTAATATTGTTTAGTTCCACATTTGGTTATTTCATATGCATCTCTTGCATTGAATATTTAATACAAGCATTCTTTTCAAGCTTGAGTACATACGAGATGCTGAGGAAATTTTGAAGTCATGAGTGTTATACAAGGATTTCATAATAGAAATATACATGACTGGTGTGTTTCCAGTGATGCCACAAAGAGATAAGGGACATTAGCTGTGAATTTTAGAAAAAGGTTTGTCTCGCAGTTTTGCCATGCTCAATCTGTATTTGCCCCAGTATGTGACCAGATTCTGTTCCACATGAGTACAGATTCCATTCACTACACAGTATCCTCACGATCCTCATGATCATAATATACCTACACTGATTAAAAATGTGTCTTCGAAGATCTTTTATTAATTACAGAAACAAAAAACAAATGTAAAAAATATTTTCTGTAAATAAGGAAATATTCAGGCAGACAAATGTTTTGATGCAAAAACATAATCATTTGACATCTACTCTACTGGATATTACTAATTTTAGATATCTACAGTGGGGTTCAAAACAAAAGAGAGAGACGGAATCGGACACACAAGGACTGATGAAAATTTAAGGAAATACAAAGTTAAGAGGCATACTGTTACAGAGAAAGATCAGAATATCATACAGGGAAAACTGACTAACTTTAAAGAATGGAATAAAATAAATAGTTGAAGTTTTATCATGAGAAGTGCAATCTCAGCTCACGGTTTAATAACAAAAATACCTGCTATAAACTGTGGAAATATTGCTTGGAAGTGATAGAGGAGAAAAAAAAAAGATACAGACATCTCAGAATGATTATAAGCCACCAATTGATACAGATTGTAAAGCAGCATGAAAAATCCTAGAGCATATCAGGAGATAGTTGCAATCTAGACAATAAAGTCATTAATACCATTGCACAAGGGCATAAGAAGACTCACTCAGAATACTGTGTAGATTTCAGGTCATCTTTCTCCAAGAAAGGTGAATTCAAATGAGAATAGGAACAAAAAAGGGCTACTAGAATAATCAGGGAAAATAAAGGGCTTGTGTTATAAAAGGAGAGTAAAAAAAAAGGCTGAGGGGACACAATTTCTCTCTGTAAACACATGAGGGGAATAAAACTGGGGAGGGGAAAGAGCTATTTAAACTAAAGGGCAAAGTTGGCACAGGACCAAATGGGTATAAAAGTAGTTATGAATACATTTGGATTGGGAATTACAAAGTTTTGAAATATCAAAAGAGCAAAGTTCTGGGGTAATAGAAGTAATGCGTCAAGAAAAATAACAGGCTTCAATAAGAAGCTAGATAGGTTTTGAACAGGATATGATGTCTCCTCTGATGACAAAGAACTAAATTCAGTGAGCCAGGTTTTTTCCTGTCCAACTTCCAATGAACTCCAATGCCCAAAGAGTTCATGAAGTAAATTCTATTTTACAACTGAACATACTGGGTCCAGTACAGGAGTGATAACCGATAAGTAGTCCAGAGCCCAATATGAACTGCCTATCAATAGTCCACACTGCTTCATCTGCATAGAACCTAACAATAGAGAAAGGAGTCATATAATTTCATCTATTGATTATGTTTCAATGCCAGCAGTTTATGCTTCAAGGTCTTAACTACAGGCAATCTCCCTAGAACAAAAGTAAAACCAATAACCAATGTGATGGTTTTTAACTCTACATGAAAAAAAAAAATCCTGAAAATGCCAGTATATTTTCACTTGATTATTTTATTTAGTTAATGCAGTAAAATATACGTATTTCTATTTTGGAAACAGCCATTCTGAACTAAGGAGACATTCTTGGATGCGCCTCATGAGAAAAGAAAGAAGTAATATGCTTAACTGTTACTGACACTGCACACAAATACTAGTAGCTGGCAATATATATTTATTTTTATACCTACAGATTACATGGAGTTCTGACAGTTCTTTCTTTAAAGCTGCTTAATGAATTTAAAAGCATGTTTGGGGATGCATTCTGTTACAAATACTATGTGCGTTTATAAATATGCTGTATATACTGGCATCAAGTTCAGCCTATTGCAGGGGTTGGCAACCCCTGGCACACATCCCGAAGTGTGGCACGTGAAGACATTTTGCTTGGTACACCATCTGTTGGGGTGGATGGTGGGCGAGCCATGAGAGACCCATGCCCACACACAGCTCCAGCCCTGGCCTTTTCCCTGCCATCCACCCCAAGGTGCACCTGTATCCACCATCAGCAACAAGCCAGGCCAAGGATCCATAAACCTTGGTGCAGTCACTTGCAGCCTCCCTGTGCCCTGCCACAAGCAGCCAGGACTCTGGCAGACAGCGGGGAAGGGGCTGGGGCTGCACTGCCATAAGAGGATCAGGTCCCTTGTGACTCCCCACTCCATATATCCCTGCCATGGCAACACCTTACAAGTAGATGCTGCCGGTTTTTCGGCATTCTGCCCAAAAACATTACCGACTCCTGGCCTATTGAATTTCCCTATTCCCAAACAAAGCAGAATTTATAAACATTGTGATCAGTGCATTTACTCATGAAGAAGTGGCCTTACAACCATGCCTCCTTGTATATGAGCTTTGTAAAATAGGGTATAGAGGTAGGGAAGCAAAGTGTAGCGAATGTTCAAGTAGTGCCTTGATGTCTTCCCCAAGAGAGAATCTGTACCAAATACAGCAGGGTCCTGAGGCTGATCATTAATGTTGGACTGTTATCGTTATGAAGAGAGCACTGTAGGCCACATTTTCAATGAGCAATTGAAATACTACTGGAGTCCAAGGGAGCTGCTACTCAATGAGTATGTAGCTGCAGATACCAGTGGTGAACTTGATATAGTACATACACTTGTTTCTCATGTAGCTGAAACTTTTGGGGTTAGAATTTCAATGATACAGTCTAAGGATGCAAAATGCCAGGTACAATCCAGTGAAATATGCATGTATCTCACTTTGATAGGAATTAAAGTAATTAAAGTGGTGTTCAAAGCCACAAGGCTGCATTTCTATGGTATGCTATAATTGGATAACCCTTATGCATACAAGAGTAGTAAAGACTGAGTAAATGAAAGAGAGAAAAAAGAGTAAGGACAAGGAAATAATTATATCCCAGATTATGTTTTTCTGCTCTGTTGTGCTAGCAGGGATGTAAGCTATATTAATATGCTACTGGCAAGTTAGCATATAACAGCAGTAAAAAATTAGTAATATAATAATATTATATATATATTATATTATTAATATATATATTTCATGTTAATATTATATATATGTGTGTGTGTGTAGATAATAAAGCATCTGTAACCTACCACATTATATTCATCATTGAGATTCCCAGAAAATGGGTAAAATGCTCTAACTTGCATCCACCGTCTGCAAAGTTCTGTGGTATCAAAGAAGAACCCACAAATGTTTGCTCCAACCTGAAAAAATATATACAGAACACCTGTGTGCCAAAATACTGTAAATGCAAAATATGTATGGAGTACACTATAGTTTCCTTTCAATCTAAGTGCCTACCCATATAGTAAATCTGACACAAGACCACTTTTGAATAGATGCTTTCCAGAGAAAATATCAGCATAGTGTGATTATTATGGCAATTAAGACTAGGAAAGAGATTCAGCATGCTTTCACTTAAAAACCTTTCTTCTTTTAGATTGGATAAGGCATGAAGATGCCAGCTCAGCATACCCAGCCATTTTTACTAAAGCAACTAAGATGTTAATCTGGAGCAGAAATGTCTGGTAAATACCTTTCTTAAAATGAAAGTTATATATTCATATATAATTTAAGTAGTAAAATATAAAACATATTAAAGATTTTAAAAAAATGTTACTAAATAGTACAGCACAATGGAACACATTCTCCCTTACATATCAATTTTTAGTTTGGGGTATTAAGTCTAAGTAACTCGCATACCAGTACCACTTAAGAGATTTATAAAGCAAGAGAAGCAATTAACAAGCATAAAACAAAAATCATGGCAAATTTTACACCTTTGTACTTTGACACAGGGAAGTCTACTGCAGTTCATCCAATTTTAAGGAAAGCTAACTTTTTCCATTCCCCCACATCACCATTGCTTTTAAAAAGCACCTTCTTTTGCAAAAGCAATAACAAAGGAAATTCCAAATAATAATGACAACTGAAGAGAATAGCATTCGGGAAAGGGAAAGAAATACAAGTCTGATACAAAACAGAGGCCTACAAAAATTTTGATGCCTGCATGTACGCGCATACAGCAGTCCATACTGTCCATAGTTTGGTAAGTGAATAAGGGTGACTTCTATGTACTGTTAATGATTGTCATTCTCCTTCTTAAACTCTCTCATTGTCTTTATATTATGAGCTCCTTCTTGAATGTTTTGAATATACAAGCATGCATTGTTGCTACCAGTAAACAGGATTAATATGAATAAATACATTAAAAATAAAACAGCCTAAAAGATAGTAGCATAGCATAATGAAACGATTACATTTTGAAAATGAAATTCAGCAATCCAACTATTTTGTAAATCATTGGATCTTCTCCCATTGTCAACTGAGTGGCAAAACACTGTGAATTACTGAAAAGTAAAAAAAAATATAAAAAGTGATTGAAGGTTTCAAACACAGAAAATAGCACATTAGGTCATAATAGATCCATCTAGTCAGAAAATAATAGTTCCATCTAGATAGGGGAGTACACTTGTTTAAAGCTGTTCTTGGGGATGAAGGGTAAGTGTTCTCTATTTCTGAAGATAATGAATTTATGACTTAAAGTGTATTTTTCCTATTAATTTGTATTAGACAGATATCTGCAATATTTGATTATTACCAATTCTCTAATTTTTCTTTAAAAGAATTAACATAAATAAATGTTTCATACGTAAGGCATCCCAAAGAGGTTAAATTCCAGCATGCCTGGTACACCCGCCTGGCTTTGAATGCCTGCTTGTGTGCCGCCTTGGCCCGTGCTGTAGAGGGCACACGCTTTCTGGCTTTGTGGATACCGAAGGTGGACTTCAGTTGTCCCTCTGGCCTCCACCGAACTCTCCTGCCACATCTTTGAATGTTACTTCAGTGGGGGGTATAGCCTCGAGGGTCTCCTCAGGGATGACCACTGCACTCACAGGCATGGGGCTTCACCTCCCCTATACCCCAACCTACACCAACCTCTGACAGGGCACCAGGTCTTAACATGGCTGCATCTCCTCAGTGGATGTTCCTTGCGATTTATTGTGTCCCTCTTTCCTCCTTGGGGCAGGATCGTTAGTTGTTTCAGGCACAGGTTATCCTTGCAGGCTGGTGCATCCCCGTGATGTCACCTGCTGGCTTCAATTTCATAAAGGCATGGCTTGTGAACCATACGGGCTCTCTTCTTCATCCCTCCAGCCTTGCTCCTCCTACAGATAAGTAGTTTTTTTGTGATTCCTTCTTTATGTCAATGTTTTTTCCCACACTGTGCCCCACAGGCGGGGCTTCCCAATCCCTCTTCTCGGTCTCCTCGGGACACCTGGTTTCACCCATTTAATGTCATCCCAAGTTGCAAAATTATCCCCCAGACAATGTCCTATGAATTTCTATGACCCAGCGAAAGTAGACCTAGGAAGAATGAAGCTTCTTTTTTCCAAAAAAAACAGCTTGGATGGCTCTGAAAAATGAAACTAAATTACAAAACAAAAGTCTGGTAAAAATGCATGGGCTCTGTTGAGTCCTTCTGGGCCTACTGCTGCTCCCTCAGACCCCTTGACTTACACATACTTCCTACAACACTTCACTAATGATGATGTGGGTCATATAATTTAACTGTTGCCTCTTCAGGGGTATGTGAAAATATAATAAAATATACAGACAGAGAGAGGTTTTATGGAGCATGTGATCCTAGCTTGAGAAATATTCTGATCTCAGTTAAAGAACAGTCTGCACCTTCTGTAAGTAATGTTAAAATAAATTCATTAATGTACAAAAATAGTAAGGCCCAACAGGCAGTCTCAATTTCAGGGTGGCAGAAGGACTTTCAGTCAAGCTACTGATATTAACCCCTCAAAATTGTTTCTTTCTGAAAGTTTTTGCTGGTTAACCTGCAGGCTACAGCTTTATAGTGCATACTGACATAACTCCACTAATTTAAAGAGTGACACAATTTTGCATCTTCGTATCTGGTTGCCAGCTTGAGGATGAAAATCCATGCAGGAAAAAATAACAGTTGAAAACTATGAATATTTTAAACTCCATTCTGCCTAGCCAAGCAGAGAACAAAGCATATGATAAAGGCATGATTTTCCCTCATCCTTTCTAACAAGACACAAACCAGAATCTGTCATGTGAGATAAGCATGACTTAGTGGGAACTTTAAATGCAAGCTGGGAAGGGAGGAAGATGGTGCCACCTCTTAAGACAGTGGTCCCTGGGGCTCAGTTAGTGAAGCCCAGAACCACCACCTTGTTTGTTCTTCAGTTTGAAGTAGACCTTGTTTACATGGGCTTTAAATTGCAGCATTTTGAAAATTATGTAAACACGGTTAGGAGTTCACTTATATTTTAAGATATGAAATTAATTCAGAAGAAAGCAATGTAAATAGTAAAGCAAAGACTTTCTTCCAGTACATATAATTCAGGCAAGCCGCATCACAGTCATAAATTGCATGATTACGTTAGCAATTTTGGTTACTTCTTGATTGGTACAACTTTAGACACCACAAAAAGAATCAGATTTCCAGATGGCAGATGCTCAGCACTTTTTAGAAAAATCAGGATCATATAAAATACTTCACGATGGGCACCATGCTAATGTGTTAATCATTTGTGAAAAGTGATTAAGGGTTCTGTATGTAAAATTGATGAGAAAGCAGGTCTTACTTTTCAGTAGTCAAGGTCATAGAATATCCATATAGACTGTGAACATCAGGGTGCTTGCCCCAAGCTTGCACTGCATCCATGCAAATTGTCTTTGAATACATGAGTCCATCCAGAATCCCTTTGGAGAATAATACAAACTATGGCACCAAAATGACAACCTCCACTCCCCACCACATGATCCTCTTCCTGCCCTTCACATCCAAGAACCCTCCCAGTTCCTACTACCTTCCCTCATCCCCCTACCCCTGATCTTCTAGCTGTTCTGAATCCTGCCTGCCCCTCACACTCCACTCTGAGTTACACCAGGTTCTCCTGGTATTGGAGATAGTCTGTACATGCCAGTCCCTGTCTCTGATCATGCAGCTTAAAGTAGGCCTTCTGATCATAAACTAGGTGGGGAGAACATTTGCATACACCCTAAATCTCTGAATTACTGGATGTGGTGAGGTACTGAGAAAGGGTTATCAATTATATCAATTATATTACTAAATAAAGCATTTGGAAATGTTTTTTTTTTCCAAATAAAGCAATTTAGTTTAGCCATGCTTGCAAGCCCAAAGCTATTAATGATAAAAGAAAAATCAATACCATTATTGAATTTAATTAAAGCAATGGCAACACTTACTAATAATTTGAAAAAACCCAAACCCTAGACTCCTAGAAAATTAGGGTAAGAAGGGACCGCAGGAGGTCATCTAGTCCAACCCCTCCCCACACACACACACACACACACTCAGAGTCCATCCACCCACCACCTCCCCAGGGGTACAATTACTAAAAAGGGAGCCACCAGAGGTACACTTTTTAAAAATAGGTTGAAAACACCTGCTTTATAAGAATATTTCTGAAATAACCTTTGTAAATAATTCAGCTACATGCTTGGCCACACGCTGCCTGTCACACATGCGTGTGTGACTTCAATAGGATATGAAGAAGCTCAAAGACAGAATTTCACCCTCACTCATGAAGACAGAAAAACACAGGAAAGCCATCTATATCAACATGGTACTTTTTCAAATCAAAAAAATATATATACAGAAAGAATTCAAATTACTTAATATACAAATCCAGTTCCATGTCTTTCAGAAAACTATGTTCTTTTTCAAGAACCTTTTTGACTCATTTTTCTATATTAGATCCATACAGGGTGCATACAAACATTTGTTGTGTCCAGCCTATGATCACATGGGAGTAGAATTTACAGGAGACGACTGGTGCCAGGAACTGCACAGGGAACCCAGTGTAAGTAACGGGGTAGGGAGAAGGCTGGGTTAGATTGGAGAGTACTAGCAGGTCTGTAGTGGGGTTGGTGGGGTTCAGGGATGCCGGTGGATCCATGACAGGGAAGAATTGTCCACCAACGTCTCCTGGCTTCAAGAGATGGCAGTTTATATAGATTTTACAGATACTTAATCCTTAATCCTACACTTCAATAAAAGAGCATCAAGCTGTTTATTACACAGGAATCAGTATGCCATTATATTAACTATATCTTGACTCAGAACATGTTATGGCAATATTCACTGGTGGGTGTTTTTATATGCAATCTTATGAGCTTTGGTGTTTTGGTTGTTTATTTGTGCTGCATTCAGTCTTTGAAGAAATTCTGTATTGTTGTACACACCTATGAAGCATTTTATTTTAGGGAAAATGTTATAAGCAGAACCAGTACACTCCCTGACTTTATCTTACATAGTGTCATACAGTAATAAACTTTGCTAATGAATGTGCATATGTTATTTGTGACAACTTCAGCAGGGCAGGAAAGTCTTAGGGCAGAGTTACTCCCTGGCAATGAGGCACTTCCTGTAAGATAGTTGTGACCCCTTTGTTCAAGGGCTGACATATGTGACGTAAAGCAAACCATTAGTTCCACTAGCTTCTTAGTTACATTAAGAAATTAACCAGAATCACCAGTAATGCTACACAATGAGAATCACATCATTTACACACATATTCTTCTCTGAGATGTCCACTTTGCACTGTTTTAGGATTTGTTTAAGATGTGCACTGATACTTCGGTCCCATATCAGATCAGCACCAATATAAGGATGTAACCCTGGGTGCGACACTACATGTGCCCTCACCTGAATAATGGGATCCTGGGGTACCCGGTAGCCAGTAGCCCTGCCCAGCCCCCCTGGGAAGCTGCTGCAGGGCCCCTGAATGGAGAGCTTCCCCTTACAATCAAGTACCCTTGCAGACAGTTCTCAAACTATTTACAAGATTTAATTATTTACATCATAACAAATAATCATCAAATAAGCACATGGATATAAAGTCTAATAAACCCTCAAGAACTTATTTACAGTCTCTCACTTGCACACGGTGTACTGGGGATCCCGTGTGCACTGCCCCTGGCGGGGTATCTCAGGGAGCAGGACTGTCTGTGTCCCTGCATGTGGCCTGTGGACGCTCCCTGGCACTGGTGCCCGTCTCCATGCTCCTGGGGTCTCTGAGCAGCAAGCAGCGGCTCTGCAGTTCCTGCAAGACAGCCTCCCCCTGCCTTTGCCCCCTTCCATGGTTCTGCTGTGAGCAATGTCTGGGCTGCAGGCTATAGCAACCCTCCTGCCCCACACAGCCTCACAGCCCCTGCAAATGCAGCCCCTCCCTGGGCTTTGCCTGCCCCTGGGGCCCCTCACCCTTCAGGGAAACTAGGGCAGACCTAGCAGTCCCCCCGCCGGCTCTGCTGTGCTCACCCAGCCACACCGCCTGTGGTCAGGTCTCTTCAGACTTGGGTTCTCCACACTAGCAGTCCCTGCCTGCTCCTGCCACTGCAGCTTCTCCACTCTGCTCCTGCAGGCCTCTCTCAGGGGATCTCCGAGGGACCACTGCACTGAGACTCTGAATCCGGTCTCCAGTCTGTCCCTCAGCCCCCTCTCTCTCTCTTGTTCCCCCCCGTGGGAAAAACTGCTTCCCCTTTTATCCAAGCCTCTCAGCCAATCCCATCTCAGGGCCCTTCCTGGGCTTTTGCTAATGGCTCTCTTTCAAACTGTGCTGGGTTTACATCACCCCTCCCACTTCCAACAAGGCTGCTCCCAAACAGCTTCACTTGCCCTCAGAGCCTACAGTGTCCCCTCTGGGACAAACTCTGTCTCTCTGCCAGGCAGCCCTTCCCATTCTGTTCAGGTGGGTCCATTTTTTAAAGGCTGCTAGAAGGAAAAGTGACAGTATCAGCAATTGGCTCTTTGGCTGATGTGGCCAATAATGTGGCCAATAAATGCCCCATGCATGCACGCAGCTACAGCACAGCATATAGGCAGTGAGGAGTGCAGCCCATCAGTGTAGAGAGCAGCCACGTCCAGCTGGTAAGTCTGTTGTGAGGGAAGGAGCATGGCAGGGGTGCAGACTGAGGGCCCAGCAGTGGGAAGGGAGTGGTCCTGGGGCAGGGACAGGCACTGCACAACTAGGGTGGTGCACAGGATGAAGCTGCAAGTGGCTCATCCAGAGGGTCTGGAGGGGTGGCTCCTGCCGCTGCATGCACCCCAGGAGAACAGATCTGCATGTGGGGTGAGCGTGGGTTGCTGCTGTTGGCTGGGACTGGGGGTGGCACTGGGCTCTTCCTGGCTAGGGAGCTTGGGCCAGGGCTATGCTCAGGGTGGGTGGCAGTGGCTCTGGGAGTGGGGGGTCAGGTGGGCTACAGTGAATTTTGGGGTGGCTACAACCCGACCCCCTTAGACCCTCTCCCAATGCCACCACTGCCCAGCCTGAGCACAGCCCCCTACCAGGAAAAGCGCTGTACTGCCCCAGCCCCAGCCCACAGCAGCATCCCACCCTTGCCCTCGCACACAGATCCAGGCCCCCCCTCATGCCCTCCTGGGGTGCATGCACTGGTGGGAGCTGCCCCCCCTACCTCCTGGATGAGCCGCTCATGGCTCCATCCCACACCCTGCCCTGGCTATGCAGTGCCTGCCCCTGCCCCATTCCCTCCCTCACTATGGTGGCCTCGATCTGCCTCCCCATGTCCCTTCCCTCCCCCCTTGCCCCTTCCCCTACAGCAGACTTACCAGCTGAATGTTGCACTCCAAGCTGTCTGGCTGCATATTGGAATTGGATCGGTATTGGCAGACATGACTTGCTAAAAATCAGCCATCGGTAGCGGCCTAAAAAATCTCTGTCGGAGCACGCCTAATTTGTTTGCATTGCAACTGGAGGTTTGATTGTAGCACATGTAGCAGTATTTGAACTAGCTTTAATTTAGCTAGTTCAGAGAACAAAGGAAGAGAGAGTGACTTTAACTGCAGCCCAGGTTTACTGTTCTTACAAAGACCTAAACTTCCAGGAGATATGTTCAGATGGTGCTAAAGCCCTTGGTACCGTGTCTTAAAGACCACTGTTATACAAGCTAAATAAACCAAAACTAGCTTTGATATGCTTTCCCATGCTGAAATCATATCTTTTGATGCCAGTACAGACATCTCCTATAATATTTTCATCCTGTCTGGGATCAGAAAAGGTTCTGCTTCCTTTCTTATATAGTGTCATACAGCATTAAACTTGGCTGCTGAATATGCATGTATTATCGGTGACAACTCCAGCAGGGCATAACTGAAAAACCATCTGGCCCTTTCTCTCCTTGAGTATTACCTGACTCTACCAGTGCTTATTTTTATAACAACTTGACTATGTGCAGAAAAAGCTCAGACAGAGCCTTCAGTTAGAAAGCAGTATGGGGTCTTAATACATCAGGGAATGCAATGCGATCAGATCAAACCCAACCTCTTTGGTGCAATGGAGACAGATTGCCAACTGTTACATCCTTTTAAGGGCATAGCACTCTTCCCTCCACCCATATGGCCAAATAGCTTCATAGACCACTTCATAAAGGGAGCAGCCATGACTCTATTTCCTTCCTTCACCAACCCTTGCAAATGTTGAGGGCCTGAGCATAGTGTCCCATTAACAGCACTGTGCTCTATGGAGCACTAGGACTAAAATTCTAGCCTGCACTTGTCAAGGCTGCATGACTGATTGATAGCTGCCTTCTTATCATCTCTCCCCAATATTAGTCTATATAAAGGCCAACCAGAAGTTAGACATGGGCCAAGTAAACATGTTTTAGTTAGAAACTGATTTTAGAACAGAAATTAAACAACAACAAAATCTAAGGCTATGCTCAGTGAAATCTAATTCTTGACCTATCTTAAATATAAATTGAATGTCCTATACCCCAAATGTGTTAGCTCTATGCTAGTCTACTGTCTGAGAGATGCAGAACCAGGAAATGTCAAATTACACAGAGTATTTCAAGATCTTCGTGGATGTCTTCAGTAATGCTTACTACAACTGCTATGAGGCTCACATGATTCTTAGTTGACAGTACTGCATGCTTATTTTTGTATATTTATCCCCAAATATACACTGCAAAAAGACGTGGACAATGTTATGTGAGAACAACTTTATTCTAGCAGCCAATACCCTTTATGCAAATGTTTCACTCTCAAGAAGAGATCTGTAAAAAACTGTACTTGATTCTTTGACTCAAATGAAAAATTTAACAATGGGATCTGCAAAAATAAATAATAAAATATGCTTGACAGCAGCAAAAAAAAAAAGTTGCACCTTCTGCAGGGGTTAAGATCAATTATTTAAAATTGTCACAACTCTTTGGAAAGCAAGACATACTGTTCAGTTTTTTGGTTTATTTATTCCCCCTCCCCCTTGCCCCCGCAACTGATTTTACTCATTCAAAAAGACCCAATAAAACAAAACAAAAAACAGAGAGGAAAGAAAAAAAGAAAGATGGTCCCCAATCCCTTTATTGTTAAAGAACTCTGTCACTGAGTGATGCCAGGGTGCTTTTAGGCCAAGTGAAGAGAGCA